AAGAGATCGAGACCATCCTGGTCAACATGGTGAAACCCCGTCTCTACTAAAAATACAAAAAATTAGCTGGGCATGGTGGCACATGCCTGTAATCCCAGCTACTCAGGAGGCTGAGGCAGGAGAATTGCCTGAACCCAGGAGGCGGAGGTTGCGGTGAGCCGAGATCGTGCCATTGCACTCCAGCCTGGGTAACAAGAGCGAAACTCCGTCTCAAAAAAAAAAAAAAAAATTAAGACAGGGTCTCACTCTGTCATCTAGTCTGGAGTGCAGTGGTGTGACCTTGGCTCACTGTAATGTCCGCCTTCCAGGCTGAAGGGATCCTCTCACCTCAGCCTCCCAAGTAACTGAAACTATAGGCACACGCTGCCATGCCCAGCTAATTTTTCTGTATTTTTAGTAGAGTAAGAGTTTTGCCATGTTGCCCAGTCTGGTTTGGAACTCCTGTCCTCCAGTCGCCTGCCCACCTTGGCCTTCAATGAGCAATCATGCCTGGCTCATTAATGATTTTCTTCATGGGTTTGGGACCCCATCTACTGCCTCTTGGTTGGAGTTCTTGACATTTTTTAAGCCAAACTTCTCAAATTATCAGTCATGTTTTGCTGGCATCAAATTCTCCAGCTTTAGATCCTTTACCTTCCTTTTGCTTTAAGCTGTCATAAAATACTTCCCTTTTTCTCAAATCGTATACAAGGATGCTTTCATTATAGTGATTTTGCACCTGTATAAAAGTTGCATTTTGAATATGAGATAAAGAAGGTATTTAGCAAAAATTGCATTGTTTTAGTGCCTACTGGTGTAGCTGCAGTGACGGCCTCGTGAATTTTCTCTTTTGCAGTGGTCCTTACACCAGATTCATTTATCTTGAAACGGCGGGCAGCTGCAGTTACACACCTCAATCCATGGTATGTATCAAGCAATTGAACATGTTGTAATGTCATGTTCAAATAATACATGACACTGTAATGTCATGACCTTTTTCTACTTCTTGAGAGCACTTACAGCATCACCAGTGGCACTTCAGATGGGTCCTGGGTTGTTACTCAGAGTTTATGGTATTGCACGAAACACAGTGAAAAATGTGCCGGAACACAGAGATCAGTTTTTACTGCCATCCGCAGTGTACTAGTGAGATGGACTGTTCACATGGAGATGATTAACATCACAGGGCACGCTAGCAGATACTTGGGCTCACCACAATAGCAATGGGAGGTGGCTATGAAATTATTATAGTAGTTCAATATGTACTACAGTTAATTTTATGCAATTGTGATTGAATACTGCATCTTTACATTTTTACATTTATTTTGACTCCGGATGGCACCATACACAGTCTAAAGGTGTTTGTATAAGTTTGGTAAATTTTAACTTAGAATAGATTTGTGTATATTTGATGGTAGTAAATCAAATAGACTAATATGCTAATATCTACGTATATTTTATGCATTCCTGGCATGCCTTTTTCTTAATTAGGGTATGTGGTTCATCTGCGAGTTTTTTTTAAATTGTTGCAAATCTTCAGAATATTTTTCAAGATGTTTATTGAAGAAAATTCTTCTATAAATGGACCCACACAATCCAAACTCATGTTGTTCTAGAATCAACTGAAGTGAGAAGCAAGGCCTAAGCTGTGCCCACAGGGATGGTGGGCAGCTGGAGAATTGGTTCGTTGGTCCTCAGGGCATGGATCCCAGAGCTGTACCACTATAAGCACTCTTCATGGTATCTTCTGTGAGGTCTTTTGGGAGTGCAAGAATCATCATGCAACTCACAGAAGTATTATCTGGGAAATCTCAGAGGGGTTACCTTTGTTTTCTGGAGTATTTTGAGCTGCAAGTTAAGATGGTTATAGATTTGTTTTGGAATATCCAAATGTCAAAATGGAGAGTTTCCTTGGAAGATGTTGGTTGGGGTCTCATTGGGGCATGTGCATCACTGGAATAATCTGTTTTAGTAGATGGTGGTGCCAGTGTTTGGAGGTGAGGTCATTATGAATGGAATAGGGTGTCTTGGGTCATTGAGTTCTCTGGTGTCTTTGTATGCCTTCATTCAGCATGAGTTTATGAGTTGTTGGGGCATGTGGGATTTCGTAGCAGGATATGGGGAACACCATGGAGTATCTGGGAAGGGTGTGGGACCCCATGGACGTCTGTAAGCCAGTCTCAGTGTAGGAGGAGAACATTAGGGCCTCAGACTCTAGTGAAAGAAGGCTTTCATTAGGGAAGGTTTTCTGTGATGGGTCTGTGGCACAATGGTGACTTAGGGAAGAATTTTCAAAGCATGGTTGTTTCACAGAAAGGAATGTGTTGTTTCCAAGCATTAAACAACATATATTTGACTTTCAGATTTGACTTTTAAAGAATTAATTATATTGACTGAGAGAGAAGCCCAGAAGAGGAATAAAAAAGAAAAGGAGTCAGGGATGGCTCTTACTCAGGTAAAGTGATATTCTTGATAGATTGTTCTGTCTCTTTCCTTTTTGAAATGCAGGGCATTGGAATTGCAAATCTTCCCTGAGTCTGAAGCATCCTGCCTGATATGTTTGCTCACACTCACCCATGCCTTCTTTCAGACCCTCTTATCTGCACTTGATTCCTGATCTCACAGTGACCTAGTGACATGAGCTTGGGAAGAGGCTCCACTGGGCATGGTTCTGGGACGTGCTCACACCCAGACATGGATGGAGAGGGGGTCTGGGTCCTGTGATGTCAGTTTTTGGGCAGGAGAGATTGTTTAGGGGCAACCTCTGAATGCACTGTTAGCTCTCAGTAAACCGGGAGTAGAGAAGCTGTATGTGGAAGTCACATGTTAACGCACCTGCTAATGTGTACAAATAACCTCATATATTCTTGAAAGGATGCCTTTAAGCGGAGGTCTTTTCTCCTTGACTTTATACCACATTTGAAGCTATAACGAATGAGTCAACTCTTTCTAACTCCACAATCTTAATACCTGGAAATGGAATGAAAAACTAGGTACGGACATCACTGATAGAGGGTGTTTTATTCCATCATTGAATTTAAAATATGAAATCAACCTGAACATCAGATTAATTTAGCCATTCTCTGCATATCTATCCCACACAGAATGCAGTGTTCCTGCAGGGGCTCTTACCAGCAGTTGTTTTGTAAAACAGTTATAATTTTGCTCAGAGCCAAACTTTTTTGAGAAGATGGAGCCAAATTCTCTCATTCCACCAATTATTATTAAATATTATATTTCTTTTATTTTAAACATCACATGATACATATATTTGTTTTGTGGTAAAAGTCCAAGCAGAGATGCAATTTAGGCATTAAGAAGGTGATACAGCCGGGCGCAGTGGCTCACGCCTGTAATCCCAGCACTTTGGGAGGCCGAGGCGGGTGGATCACAAGGTCAAGAGATCGAGACCATCCTGGTCAACATGGTGAAACCCCGTCTCTACTAAAAACTACAAAAAATTAGCTGGGCATGGTGGTGTGTGCCTGTAATCCCAGCTACTCAGGAGGCTGAGGCAGGAGATTTGCCTGAACCTGGGAGGTGGAGGTTGCGGTGAGCCGAGATCGCGCCATTGCACTCCAGCCTGGGTAACAAGAGCGAAACTCCGTCTCAGAAAGAAAAAAAAAAAAAAAAAGAAGGTGATACAACATGAGGATGATAGGGAATAACATTTTATTATATGTGAAATTTATACTAAATGAGATTTTAGCTGTTTGCCACAAAAGCAAAAAAAAAAAAAAAAAAAAAAAAGTTAACTGTGAGATATGGATATGTTAATTTGTTAAACTATAGTGAGTTTTTTACTATCTATGCCTTACTATGTTGTATACCTTAAGGATACACCATAAAATTTATAAGCAAACAAGTGAAAAACAGGGCATCAAGATACATTTCAGTTTTATATAAAAAATATAACCTAAAAAAAGGACATTAAGGCCATAATTTAAAACTTTACAGAATATGAAATAGCTTCTAGAATGCAGGAAAATTGAGCATAAAGTAAGAATTATTTTATTTTTATTTCCACAAAATAATGAAACATCCTCACAGTCCAAGGCATTGGAAAATGGAAATATAAAGAACTTTTATTTTTTCTAGATCCTCAAAGAGAAAAAAGAACATAGTAGTACTGTCTTTTTTTTTTTTTTTTTTTGAGACAGAGTCTGGCTCTGTCACCAGGCACCAGACTGGAGTGCAGTAGCCTGATCTCAGCTCACTGCAGCCTCTGCCTCTGGGGTTAAGCAATTCTCCTGCCTCAGCCTCCCAAGTAGCTAGGACTACAGGCGCGCACCACTACGCCCAGCTAATTTTTATATTTTAGTAGAGACGGGGTTTCACTGTGTTAGCTAGGATGGTCTTAATCTCTTGACCTCATGATCCGCCTGCCTTGGCCTCCCAAAGAGCTGTGATTACAGGTGTGAGCCACCACGCCTGGCCAAGTATCTTTTTTTATTTAAAGAGCGAAATGTCATGTGTCATTGGTGGGAGGGGGCACCCTTGAACTTAGGAGAGTGGGGAATCTAGCCAGATTCATCAAAATAGGAAATGTACCATCCTAGAAGACGTGATCACTCTTTATCCAGAGGAACCCAAGTTCCTTTTCCTGTGACATTCTTCACCATGCCTCACATTTCCTTGAGGAGCTACTATTGTGAGTTCTGTGACAAGAGTCAGTGAGAGGTGTCAAGATGCATTTACACATCATTAGGAGATTTTAGAAAACAATTCTTCATTGAATGTTCAGCTGGGATATTTTATTTTGCAAGTTTTTGAAATGTACATGTTTTTATGTTAATAAACATGAATAACTTGTTTTGCATCCTCTTTGGAGCAATTTCTAAATGAAGACATGAATCTTTTACAATTTTTCACTTTTACAAAGAATGTCACCGTGGCTACCTCTGTGCATGCTGTCTTTACCACAAGTATCTGAGGCTTCCTTCACAGGCAGTTCAAAGAATGATTGCTTCTTTTAGGATGGTATACCGCAAAAGCAAAAATAAATTTTTTTTTTTATCTTTTTTTGGAAGACCTGGCTCACAGTGTGATTATAAAATACAATGTTTCTTTAAAATCTCATGTTTCTTGCTTACCTTTTCTTTGCATGAATCTTTAATTTGAATTTTTGTGTACATCTTTTTATAGATTATATTTGATTGCTTTTAAAGTTTCAGATCATACATATCTTAATAGGTTCATATGAAGATTGGCAAAGCCCTCCATTTTCTTTCCAGACTTTTGTTCATTCCTTTTTTATATAACAGTCACATTTTAATAAATTCTGACATATTTTGTGTTCGAATGGCTATAAATTTTTACAGTTAATGGGTCTTTAAGTCACCACATCTTCCCATAAGAATTGATTTTGTCAGTTAGTGATCATATCTGTATTATCTTTCAGTAAAGTTTGTTTGTTTGCTTACAGTTCAGTAATGTTAGGTGTATTTACATATTTACATTAGTTATTGGACTTTCAGAATGCATATGTTCTTGGTACTTGAGGGTTTCCCCATGAGCCCCTTAGGTACTCTTTATTTTCTTTATTTTTTATAGTTTTTGTTTTCCTCCCTGTCAGAATCCCCTTTAAGTTCACTGATTCCTTCTCCTGCCTAATTAAGTCTGCTGTTGAACTCACCTAGTGAATTTTTCAACTCAGTTACCGTATTTTTAGCTCGAATTTTTTTCTTTCTGTTTTGTTTTCAGGCAGGGTTTCACTCTTGCCCAGGGTGGAATGCAGTGGCATGATCTTGGCTCTCTGCATCCTCTGCCTCCTGGATTCAAATGAACCTCCCACCTCAACCTCCTGAGTAGCTGAGACTACAGGTGTACACCATCACGCCTGCCTAATTTGGTTGGTCTCAGAACTCCTGGGCTTAAGTGATTCTTCCACCTCGGCCTCCCCTGAGTACTGGAATTACAGGCATGAGCCATGGTGCCCAGCCTCAGAATTTCTTTTTGATTCTTTAAAGTTGTTAATGTCTGTTGATATTCTTCTTTGCATGTATAGTTCATACAGTTTTCTTGATTTCATGAACTTGTCTGTGTGTGTGCTGTCTTTTAACTCATTGAGCATTCTTGTGGCTGCTATTTCAAATTCTTCGGTAATTCAGAGTCAGTCCTCTGTATTCATGGCTTATGCAGCCACGAGTGGAACCAACTGTGAACTACAAATAGCCAGAAAAAAATGGATGGTTTCATCTGTGTTGAACATGTGTAGTCCTTTTTTTTCTTGTCATTATTTCCTAAACAATGCAGTATAACAACTACTTACATAGCATTTACATTGTATTAGCTATTATAAATAATGTAGAGATGATTAAAATCATATGGGAAGATATAGGTAGGTTGTATGCAAACACTATGCCTTTTTATATAAAACACTTCGGTATCTGTAGGAAAAGATGGCCGGGGCAAACTATGGTGCAGTAAAATAAAAGCAGAGATCAAGCAGTAACAGGAGGCCTATAGTAAGGACCATCTAACGGTGATGTAGCAGGAGCGGTGGGGAACAAACCTCTTGAACACCTAACTGAGGAAGAAGTGGCTTTTTATTCAGCTGGGAGTTGTAGGGGTGCTACAGCCTCATTCCTTGAGCTCCCTGAGCTGCAGCTTCTCTGAGCTGCTAAAGGGGAAACTGAGGTGGAACTATGTCATTGTCCATTTGCTGGAGTCTGACCTTACAATCTTTTGGCTTAATTGATTTGCTAATTCATATGCAGTGTGAGCGGGAACCAGCAAGGGAGGGGGGCTTACAGAGACAAGACAAAAGCAGCAAGCTGTTTGTTAGCAGAGGTGTTTCCAGGAGGGAGCCTGGTCTGTGGAGATGTGGGCTCATGAACCAGTGCTGGGCTCCAGCCGGCAGAGATAACATTCATTTGCAGCGCTTTTTAGGTTAACAGATAGCAGAGATGCTGGGAACTAAAAAAGGAGTCATTTTCCCAGCTCTTCGGTATTTAATTTTTTTTTCCTTCTTCACCCTCCTTCCCATCTGGAAGGTGGGGGCAGAAGAGGTGAAATTGAAGGAGGTGAGGGGGTCTCCCCTCTCACCAAGACCCCACAACTGTAGACTCACTGATATGTGATCTCAGCTTGGAAGAGCTGTAGGCACTTTACCACAGTGCGTAAGAACTTCCATGTGAGGTGATCCCAGCAAAACTACTGGGCAGGAATTCGCAAGATGCTGGGGACCCAACCTCTTCTCCAGAATGTCTAGAAGGTGGGACATGGAGTCAAAGGAGATTATTGTCAAGCATTATTATTTAATGTGTGTGCCCTATTGGGTTTCAGACTTACATGGGAACAGGTACCTCTTCCTTCCTGTTTCTCCCTTTTGGAATTGAAATATCTAACCTGTGTCTGCCCTACTATTGTACTTTGGAAGCACATAACTCATTTGATTTCACAGGTTCACAGCTGGAGAGGAGTTTGCCTCCAGATGCAACACAGCTTTGAGTCTCACCCATATCTGATTTCGATTATAATGAGATGCAGCTCTGGAGTATAGACTTTTGAATTAGTAGTAGAAAACGTTAAGGCTGCCGGGCGCGGTGGCTCAAGCCTGTAATCCCAGCACTTTGGGAGGCCGAGGCGGGTGGATCACGAGGTCAAGAGATCGAGACCATCCTGGTCAACATGGTGAAACCCCGTCTCTACTAAAAATACAAAAAATAAGCTGGGCATGGTGGCGCGTGCCTG